AATCATTAACCTTAAGTTGGTCACAGCATTAAGATTCTAACGTAAAATTTGAGCCGAGATATGAACTACTATATTATGTACTATATATTTATATCGTATTTTGTTATAAGAAGAAAATAAAATTGAAGATTGTTGTGTTCGGTTTTAACATGTCCTTTTACTTCTTGGCAAACTACTTACGTAATAGTATAAAGAAAATGTAATTTTACAGTAAACAACGTATATTATTTGTAAGAAAATATCAAATTTTCGACCGATATCGAAAACGGATAAAATTCTTATTCCTATTGTAATAAAAAACTCCCTTCAACACGTCGTTCAGAAAATACACCTGGTATCTTGATACCGTAAACATTGGTTTACTGCAAAATGTCCATCCGTTTGCCTTCTCGCCCGTTCATGTCTGTCGGTTTCCGAATCTGTCGGGCACATATTTTGAAAGTAGGTGGTGATATAATTTGCCATGTGCATTTTTTTCAGCTTTTACTCTCGCAAATGTTCTACGAATTAAATGATGTTTTTTGTCGAAACGAACATGTTTTCTGGGTGGTGCCTCTGAGATAAGGTTCAAAGGCATAATAAATAATGAAGATGCAACATGGATCTGCAAATAATTCTAGCGTACAAACCCTACACGTTTTTAGAAAATGCATAATTTTAGTTGATATGGATTAACGTTAAGGTCTACAAATTGCAAAGGACTCTTAATTTTTAGGGGGTACTTTGTATAAAGTTCCATGAACATTTTAAAAATTTTCTCAAAAACTGCTCTAGATGCTTGTTGAAATATCTTGATTGAAAAATAAAAATGCAATATTAAAGATATTAAAAATACTATTATATTAATATTAAGTTTCCCTACAAAAATGTAATATTTCAATCACAGTAAATGTTTTAGAACTGAAAATTGTCTAATTAGAAAATCAGTTAATGTTAAAATCGAAATAATTTTCCGAAAATTGCAAACTATGCACTTTGGATCGAGATGTATCCACCCTTCGTATCAATTCCACACGTGGGAGTATCCATGTTACGCCAGTGGGGAGAGGCACGCTAGAGTTTGAAGGGCACCTGTGGAATGAGTCATTTCCTGCCTTTGAAGACGTTGGCGTCATGCTGGCTATCAACTTGTCACGTTTTCTTGGAAAATGTTTTACACCTTGCTTTTTGTAAATGCCCACAGTTTGGTTAGTGATGACAGATGAAAATAGTGTTTCGCTTAGAGAAAAAACGAACAATTTGTGATTGCTTAAACGCTTATCCGAACCTTGCAGAATATTGCTTTTCAATGCAAATTGTGCTCTTGCAGAAATTCAGGAATTTATAATGTATCTAATGTATAATAGAACAAAAAAGTATTAAATTTTTCTGTAATTGTATTTCAAGCTTAATAGTTTTGCATTATGTTTATTTAATAACGTGTTACTAATACTCTGCTATTTTTAATGTATTTTAAACTGTTTACCCAAAATAAAATAGTTTCAAAATTCATGTATTTCACTCACTTTGAAATGCTTGCGCGTGATATTACTGCGTGTGTGCACGAGGTGCCCATAAGCGTGAGTGTATGTGCACGAATGTGTGATTAGCTGCTAAAGCATGAATTTCTAACTTACCCAATAAGAAGAGCGTTGATACTACGAGGACCAGGTGCCTTGCTTCCCTGCTCATGGTCGGCTTCAGAATGATCGCGTGGGCAAAAATTGAGTGACAAGATAAGTGCCCGTATCACATTCTGATAGGAAACATTGTGGATATAGAAGTCTCTGGATGCGTTATCATTTCTATAAAAGAATCCTCGAAAGTATAGTGCTATTGTTACGTGCGTTCTGCAACGTTGTGTTAAGACGTTCTTGGTGTTAAATTCTAGTTGTTTAGTTTTATATTCTCTACAATATATTTTTGTTCTAGTCAAGTTACAAGAGCTATCAGTAATTGAAAATGAAGATTAAATTTAAGATATCTAGAATTGTTATTCATTAATATTTAATTTAACTGATACGTTTATTTCAAACAACTAGTAAAATGTCATAAAGAGCAATTAATATTGTATATAACAAATTGCAACGTAACATTTTTACATAACAATTTTTCGTTGAATAATATGTATAGATTCCTCACGGGTGTCCACTTTTTTCTCTCTCAACCAGAAAATAAACATAGAAGGATACGGTAAAACCTGACGCACCGAAAGCAAGGGATCTCCAGGATTGTTTGGATGAACTCATTTCAAATAGTGAAATCCGATTTGATAAAAAAAAAAACAGCACACCGACTTACAGCATGAAGTTTTCATGATATTTTTGTCTTGATTGTGGTGAATGTTCACATTATGCCAAACATGTGTGCATTCAAATCAAACACTACGTCACATGGTAAAGTAACAAAATGTTTGTGACGTGTGAATTTCGCTGAACAGTGTGTGATAGTGCATTTATGAAACGCTTTCTAGTGTTTGCATTCGTCAACGTTGCGATAGAAGACTGGCAGTGGCCCGAGTCGGAGAACTGTACATCGTTTGACATTCGCCTAATATGATGTGTGACCGGAGAGTTGTGTTCGATCGAGCACGTGGTCGAAGAAATTAGGCTGTCCTGGAAGTTTCAGGAAGTGTAGACTGTGAGGCATCAGATGGAGACGAGATGTTAATAGGGAATCGAGAGTAGGATCAGGAGAGGTGTTCCGAGGATTTGAAATAAGACAGCGGATGGAGAAACTGAGCAAGGTGAGGGACACATTAATGGAAAACAAGATAGGATTGGAGTTTTGATGCGTGATTCCAACTATTTATCAAGTGCGTATTTCCGACAAGGTTCCGCTGGATGCCGTGTGGGGTGAAGTGTTAAGTGAGAAAACGCTGAAATATTTATGACTTCCAGATAGTGTTATAGGTATAGGTGTTGTGGTGCGTTATCGTTGGCATTTTTCATGAAATAATTATAAACGTTGTCATTGCCAACAATAGTAATTAACATAAGAGCAGCTTTCGATGGCTTAGCCATCATCAGTTGTCTGCTGGATGGAAGCCACAAAACGACTACGGGAAACGGGTAGTCGTTTTGTGGCTTCCATCAACTGAAAAGTATGTATTTTGTCTGATTTATTTCTCTTTCTCCTCTTAAGGCTACTTTTTACAGAGTACTATTTTTTTATTATTTTTAAGAGTAGAAGAAAGATTTTTGTTCTTTGTTAATAATACTTTTATTAAAATCTTCATGAACTTTTGTGCAAGCTGCCTTGAAAACAGGAAGAAAATTACTGCATACATGAGATTTCTAATAAGCTACCCAAATTAAAGGTCTAAATTAGTATTAGAAGTTTAAGGGGTTATGCAAAATGCAACTATTTACAGCTTCTCCAGAGCAACGTAGCGGGGCCGGACGGTGTGGTAACGATTATCATAGAAAACGTGGCAGGCAAGGGCGGGACAGACAAGGGCGGACTCGGGCGCATCAAAGCACGCTGGATCAGGGCAGGAGCAGTCTAGGGTGGGGCAGGGTTGAATAGAATAGGAAATACTTCACAGCTTTTTCCTGACCATAAATACCCGGGCAACGCAGGGTAGTCAGGGTACTTTAAATTATGTATCTCAACAACATATGCAAAATCTAAATTATGCAATGTAACATGTACGTTTATGAATAGGTTGATATTTATCACTTCCAAAAGCTATGATTGTGGGTAGTATTGTAAATCAAGGTAGCAGTGCATTCAATGCAACAATGTTGTGAATAAAAACCCTCATTGCTATTTGAAGTTATTTGAATTATTATTGTATATTTGTGTAAGCGTGGAAGTCGACAGAACTACCTGGTTAAAGATGCACTCACAGACCTTTGCTATGAGAAAATGTTTATTCCTTCATTTTCGTCAAACTCTGCTAGGATAAATAAATCACATAATTCATTAATATTCAAATTTTTATTTTTACTTTTGTAAAATAATTTACAATTAAGTTTTGTTAAATGATGTTTTTATGAAAGAATAAATCAGACAGTTAAATGAAAACAAATACTTATTTTAAAAATATTTCAAAGTACTATTTGTTAGAATTCAATATTGAGTTAAAAATGTTATTTTCTGTAACTTTGTATTATCGTTAACTCGTTCGAAATTTAGTTTCTATTGAGTTACAGGGATTGCAATACGTATCTTCTCATTGCAAATTAAATGCGATGCATAAGAACTTTGCAAATTAAATGCGGTGCATAATTTTATAGAGCATTGATGAAAATTTACCGTATTTATAAAAGATATGTACTGAAATGGGAAAAAAACTCTTCTGTATTTTTACACCTGCAGTTTCCTTCAGATTACATTTATGCTTACGTTTGTACTTCCATGTAATGCTGTTACTCATTAGACTCCACAAAAACCTAATACTGTAATAATAAGCTTAAAATAATGTAGGTCTATTGAATTCAATTGAAGTAAAGACATTTTTGTAAACAGAAGACATTACTTCTAAAACCTTTCCAGCAATGAAAAGTTAAATTTTCAAAATAAATACGTGCACTATTAATGAAATACATAACATTAAATTGTTCATATACAATATTTCAAAAATTATAGATACTTGAAACATTGCAAATTAGCTGTTGTTATGTATGAATTTCAAGTATTTCATTTCAAAAACGTCTGAAAACATAGGTTGTAAATCAAAATTCCATATTCATATAAGAATTAAAAATGTCACATTGAGGATGTTAAGAATAGTATTAAAAATATTTTCTATTGAAAATATTTTTTTTGCCTTCGTCTCATAATTAATTGAAGTAACAAACAATAAATCCCCTCATATAGAAAAATCTTCACACGGAACCCCACACAATCGACAACACTGCCAGAGTAGCTGTCAAGACACTGGAAGCAAAAATTGAAGGCCCGTCATCTTTTTCGTAGACATCCTTTATCCAGTCGGTGAATTCGGGCACACTGCTGTATACGGCCGTGCCGTTTCCCGAGCAATCGAAGTGTGAGCCTACGCCCACCAAGGAGTTTCGGCAGACCAACGGGGCTCCACGATCTCCCTGTGAAATCAAAGAAATGCATTGTTTTGGTAGGGCTAATCTCAATTCGGAAGCTACTTCCGACTAGTACAGGTACTTGTGTGCAGAAATAAACAGTAGCACTACCACCAGGGCCGCATCATGGTAATTTATGCTGTTGTGAAAATTTTTATCACAGACTATTTACGTCAATATATATTATTTACAGACTACTTAGATTCATAGATTTTATTTACAGACTTTGTAGGGTCATAAGTTTATTCACAGACTATTTACGTTCATAAATTTTATTTACAGAGTATGTACGATCACAGATTTTATTTACCGATTATTTACGACTAGGGCTGCATCAAGGTAATTTGAGGCGTTTCGCAATTTTTTGTTTGCCGGGCCCCTGTGTTGTAATGTTTTGAATTTTGTTACACAAAATTTATTTGCAGACTAATGACTGTGAAGTAGAGCGGTTACTTCACAATTGCTGCATGAGTAATAAACGTAACCGTTATATTACACGAAACTGATGAAATCTCCGAAAATTGAATTACTTATACATTAGGTATTTATTTTTTAGAACTATAATTTAACACCAAAAGAGTTTGTATTTTTGTGAATAATATATTTTTTCTTTAAAAAAATATTAAAAATAATTCATATATTTAAAATGCATAAATATTTGCCACTTTTTCACAAATGCCGTCCTTGTGCGTGATGGGCCGCTTGCACTAGGGTTGGCGTGGCCCTGGTTAAGACATAGCACAGACTTTCTCCATTTATTTGTATGGGTTTCGTGAAATAATTACAAATCAAATTACGTGACTAATATTTCAGTTATGTTGTGCCTCACGCTGTTTGAAACACAGTACATTTCTATTTTCTGGAACATTTAAAACTCTCTTTATTAGTAAAATTGACCTTTTTGTTCCATTTATGGTCCATGGTTTCTTATTAAAAATATAATGATGCTACGTCAGCCCATTTTTTCTCCAATAATTGGTAATGGTGACGTACTTTAGTGTTGCTATTGGCACAACTCCCCTTTTTAGGCAAAGAAATGGTGTCAATTTTCATCTCAATACGAGGTGAACATTAATATTAATACTGAATGTGTTCCCCTCCCAAGTTTCATTAGTCGATAGAGCGCATTGCAAAGGTATCTGTATAAATAAGAAAATATTCCACAAAACATTTGGAAAAGTTTTCTAGAAAATTTTGTTTGATCGTTATTGAAAATGTTCAATTTTGAGCGATTCTCTAAACTTCAATGCTCCAATCCAAGCAATATGTTACGAAATGTAAATAGCGTGTGCTGTATTTGTACGCTTTGATTTTAGGAAAATTATCGTTGCAAATATTATTCTAGGAGTTGTAAGTAGGTGTTCGTTACTTAATTAAACTCCTAGTTTCCCAACTTTTCAGAGCCTTATTATTCACTCGTCATGGCTTACTATTATTTAATATTTTGTAATGTTATATGTATTTTCTACTGAAATTGTTTTGTAATGTTCTTCAATATTCAACCATAGAAAGTCCTGAGGAGGGAACAATAAAGTTTCGAAACTTTGACAAGCCTACTAGGAGTTTAATGAAGTGACCAACACCCATTAACTATTCCTAGAATTAATAGCGTGGACGTGATTTCAAGAAATATATATTGTTTGACATTTCACAAGGTTTCGTTTATCTTTACGTTGCCTGAAGGTTGAATTAGGTTGAAGGTTGAATTTCTTTTCAGTATGTCTATACTTCATAGTTCTTATGAATTGGTTTTTGGTATGTATTTGGAGTTTCCTATTTTCCTTGTACTGAATATGTAGAACTTTTCTTACTTTTCTACAACTGCACCCACACTTATTTAATTTTTGATGTGCATCATAGCTGCCCGAAATATTAAGATATGTCCCAATTTTCTAAGCTAATATTAATAATAAACTATATAAACAGTATAAATAATAACTATATGAATAATAAACGATAAAAATAATAATTTTATTTTTGAAACATTTTTATTATTATGACTTGATGTTTTATGCCTAAAGTAGTTCAATTGCCGGTATTTTCGTGGTGTCGCTTCATGTTTTTAAAATCTGTGCAAGTATTGAGTTTTTGGTTTTCAAAGAGAAAATGTGTCGGTATGCCGCGCTTTCGTACTAGTTGAGTAATGTTGCTTTGTAGGGCATTCTCAGAGAGTACCAATAAAAGGCACATTTTCATCAAAGTCGGAGGATATTCACTAGGGAAGTATATTAACACCTATCTTGTTTCTGGCTTACATAAATGATGACTGTGGTGTGAGGAGGTCGAATCCACTCATCGATTTTTGCATATGATGTGTAAAAATTACAGGAAAGTTTGGGAAGCCAAACAATAAGAAACCTTGTAAAACGACCCTGATCGCTTGAAAAATGTGCCTGGATGAATAGCGTTAAATAAATATTGCAATGTCGTAATTTTTTCCTAGATAACTCGAAGTTAAAAGGTAACCTAGAGTAGTATGAGTTCGGTTTTTTTTACCATCTTTGGGTCTCGAGTCTTATGAAGAACGACTGCTCAGATGGTAGCATCAACTTCCTCTCGTCGGTTCGTACTGTTAATACAGCGCTCAAGACATAAAGTTCAGAAGTGGTTGTTTAATGATTATTAATTTGAAATGTAGAAACAAAATATTGAGACATTGTGAAAATACGACGTGCACAATGATTGTAGACATTGTCGCCCATATATAATTACCTCGCACAAGCCAACTCCGTAACTAAGGCTTATCGCACACAGCGTCTTTCCGGGCGGTGGAGGTGTAACACTCCCGCATTGATTCACATACATCGTCGCGTAGTATAAGTGCTGCATCTCTGGAGCCAGCTGTTGGAGAAAGTGAATTTATAATTACATTTCTGCCTTAAGGCGGTCAGGATGCATGTAGAGTAAATATAGGCTTATGCTCCCTCCCTTATAAAATAAGGTAAGAAGTAAAATATGTGAAACATTTCAAACAGAATCTATGAGATTAAAGTTTGACCAAAACATTGATAGTATACTAATTGAAAATAATTTACATTACATTAACATAATATACAAAATATTTTAGTTTGTACATAATAATTTACTTTCAGTATCTTTAATTCATGTTATTAAAACTGGAAAACATTTGTTAGGCAATGAACGTACATTACGAAGATCTCTTTACAATTCTTGATAAGATTCTTCCGTACGTGTCTGGCAATAATTTATACGGATTAACAAAAGATTAAAACATGTCTCTTGTGACTCATCCTTACCTTTATCTAGGAAACCTTTATTTCATTAAAACTTCTCAGTTTTCACTAAATATCATAGCACAAAAACTAGCACAATATCTGGATATAACAAGTAGTATATGCTCTCTTCCAGAAGGGATCTACAATAACCTGCCTTCCGCTGGCACTACAAAAACACACATGGCACCAATTTTGAAAATTTTAGTAGTTTTCGCGCACTATTGAATACAATATGTGCATTTTTAAAAAAATACAAAAACAAGATTTTTTCAAAAACAAGATTTTCTCAAAAACAGCTCAAATTTTTCTTTAAACGTTTGGTAGGGATAGTGATAAATGTACTCTATAAGATGACAAAAACGCCATATTGCTCTATTCTTTTGTTTTTTCAAAAATATTTTTAGAAACGCTCAAACGCTTTTTTCTCAAACACAGCTCAACTTTTTTCTTCAAACAATTCGAACGGATAGTTATAATTACACTCTTTAATATGACGTAAAGTTAATTTGGTGTATTTTTGTTTTTTTCACAAATGTAAATTTTGGGGAAGATCTCTCCCGCCGTTGATATGCTCATATCCACCAAATTGTAAACACTAAGTGAGTTAAAGTACTTAAAATGACTTCAAATTAAGTTTTTCGAAAACTTAACAATTTTCTGTGAAAAAGAGCTTCAAATTTCGAAGTTACATTACACTTATACGCCAGTATCTCACAAAAGACCCCGAATTTTTAAGGAAATTTGGCATTATGTTGCACGTGACTGCTGTTTTCTTTATCCCATAAAAGTCGAACTTCAATTTTTGGCATACATATGTTTGACTAGGCGAGGGGTGTAATTCCCTATTCAAGTAGTATCACACAGGGTTTTCTGGTGATCATTCCTTACAAGTGGAACAAAATCTTCATCTTTCCTTAACGTTCTACATAGAGAGGGGGTTGTGAATTAATTTGTCATTAACGTTCTCTGCACAAAGCCTGAAAATATTCTCAGATTTTTCCTTAGAGATGAGAACAGTTTGTAATATTTCCAACAACATTGTTCTTTTTGACCAGAAAAATTGACTCCTCAGTGTAAGACTTACGGTTTTACAAATACAACTACGCCAAATATGTGCATTCATATTTTCGTTTTCCTAGTTCCGTCTTCTCAAGATTACAGAGATACATGACGACGAAGAGATGATGTTCGCACAATTTTGCCAGCAAAATCATTAACTGCGCATATGCAAGAAATGATAAATCTGTAATTGTATCTTTGTTTAAATATTACTTTGTATGACAAAATACTCACCGGATTTGACCAGATTGGGCCATAACCAAGGGACGTGCAGTAATCAGACAAATCCGCAGTCACAGAATATCCCAGTTTTATAGGTTCCACAATTGAAGAGTACTTGAAATAATCGTTTATCTGAAAATTCAGAATAGAAATAATTACCCTTGGTGTTTGTACGATTGGAAGATTTGAGTCAATATTTTTGGAACTGAGGTACTCTAATCAAGCGACTCAGATTCATATGAATTTACCCAGAAAGTAATAAATATTTTATCTAAACATTTCATTATTCAATATTTACAAAGCAATTCCTGTTCATTTAAGATATTAACACATTACCTGTATCTAGAAAAAATGCAAAAACACATTTGTTTATAAAATAGGCACACTGAAGGGGTGCAATAGTATTATATTGTACAATATTTTTTAGTATAGTTATATAATTGTGTTATATTTATTTGTATAGTATAGTATTGCATTGCATTTCTTTGGCTCATACGTACTTCTCACGGAGTTGGTTGAAAATGTTTGCTGGCATATTTTCCATTCTCATTCCATCATAGCCTTTATAATGAATATTAAGTGTGGCTGTCCGTAAACAAAGAAACCTACGGTGATTTTCATTTATTACAGTGAAATTTATGACGAGTTCCAAGACTTTTTTAGACGTGCTGTCAATTATTATGCCGAAGAATACTAACCACAATCCTAATAAATATTGTTAGTTTCCATTTAAAATTTCAACATTACCCATAGTTTCGGCAATAAGGAGAGAGGTCACAGAATATCATAATTACATTTTATTAAAGCGATTTCTAATTTCTAGCATACTGTTTACGCATATATACTTTATAACAATAGTATTACGAGTATAATGCTACGGGAAAAACGACGATTTTTCGATAGAAAAACTGTTACTGGCGAACCCTGGAAACGAAAAGTAGATAAATATTGTTCACGCCGGCCAAGGTCGCTCAGGGTATCAACTGATGTCACTGCAGTGCCTCTGACAGGTAGGTACTAGGGATAGAATCCCGACAGTGGCAGGATTTTTGATTTTAACTAGACAGCTAGGTCGAATTCAGCCTCTGTCTGGAGGAAAATTCTAACCGCCGGCTGCCCTGGTCGGTTATTTTTCGTGGTTTCTCCAATTAAAACCAGGCGAATGCTGGATCAGTACCCTCACAACGCGCCATGCACTGTGCACGATCTTCCCTTCCTCTTCCTTGTCCTATCCTTACCCATTACTCACACACAAACACACTTTTACACTCATTCACACGTGTTCGAATCCGTTCTATATTTTAACTTTAAAAATTCTACTATTGATTTTTTTATTTATTCTTTATTAAATTAATTTACTAATTATCTTAAAATCCATGACAATCTTGGCCTTGCTCATCTAATACGAAAGTCTCTGTAACTCCATAAATACGTATCACTTTCCTTTTTTAAAGTTCCTTGGGCAACCTTGGCCGCTGTCGTCCTGGATACTCGAACACATGTATTCTCGGCTTCGACTCCATCCATTTGTCTCCTCACACACTTAAAATCAATGTTCCGTTCATCTCATCTCACACCAACATCTGATTAGATATGTACGACTCTGACAACATAGTTTTAAACTTGAACGCCCTTTCGATTTACGAACTGTTCATTTCCACCTTCAGTAAATGTTTTCGACTCCCATACATTTTCTTACGATCTACCGCACACGTCTGCTCATTATGACAACTATCTTCGTTCGTACTTACGCATACGTCTTTGCCTGCTCACAGCTCACCACCATCTGCTAGTCTTTCCATCCTCAATACTATTTTTTTCTTGACCTAGTTGTTTCCATCTCTTCGATGCTATACTGTCACATTTCCTTTGCATATCTTTAATCCCCTTTGTTATGTTCTTACAATGTTCAAAATTAAATATAATTTAGTTTTAAAATAAATAACTCTTTATTATAATATATAATTGAAATAAATCAATTTATATCGTTTAATTGATCGAATTCTTCTTATTTCCCCTAACTACATTACTGTTAAATCTCTCTTTTAATAATAGAATAAATTAAAAATAATTCAGATGACAATGCTCGACACAGTGATTTCTTTGTGTAAAGTTTTAGAAATTGTAATAGGCAATTCGGTTCAAATGAACTACAGTATGAGGTTTTTATTAGTTGCGTAAATCTTTTATATTATTTGTCGGCCTCTTATCATGGACATGGATAATGATAATTTGAAGATCCTGTAAATACTTACGCGTACAAGTGCTATATTATTCGCCATGGTTGTGATGTTGAAATTTTCGTGGACGTAAAATGTAGCCACACTGTAGGTAATAGTCTCGTTATAGTCATTCAGATCGACGTATCCAACGCCTATTCGAAAGTTTCTTGTCGATTTTCTTGTGTAATAAATACATTACAATTGTAATAGCAAACACGATACCATTAGCCACACTAGCAATTTAGAAACTACTGCTGGTAATATTTGACAGACACATGAACATGAATGAATGTATATCTAAGAAAATGAAACGAGGTTTTTCTTCTGGCGAGAAACAATTCTCAATAATGAATTCATTGTATGCTTAGAATAACTCCATCTTTTGTTGTGTCCTCTACTAACGTTTCACATCATCATTACTTCCTTGTGTTCGCTTCGTCGTAACGATCTCTAGCACCAAGTCAACAGAGGAATAGTAATACGTGATAATATCTATGACTTGGAAATCGAATCTCCCGATTGTTTTTTGCCAGAGCTCCTGGATTCTGTTAAGAATCTTAAAGATGGCGACTTCGTAATACTACTTCTTCCATCTAGGAATGCTGTTTGTGATAAAGCTTTTGATGACATATAAGGTTGCGCGATCGAAATTCAGCGTAAGGTACATGCGCTTTACATCATAAGTTTCTGCACAATATTATCGGGCATGTTATCTGCAAGGGTGTCCCTGGGATAAGCTTCAGCTTTCACGTGTAGCCCATCCATCCATCTTTCCCAAGCAGCGAATTCACGACCAATAAACATGACGTGATCTCGCTCTTGCCCGAATGACTTCATGTATTGTAAAAAATATTGAAAAATATCTGTAGTTTTATTTAAGGTCGCATCAACTTCTAGGTCATTAGCGACACTATTCTGTTGTAAGCGTAAATGAGAGGTGACACGATATGATGATGATAGGGTGAAAGGACGACACAATACAATAATGCCTGAGGCGGACACGAACCCGCGATCCTTCGGTCCGAGTTCTGCTTACGCGCACTAACTGCCTTTAGCTCCTGCATTATACTTTTATGACATTGTTTCTCCTTTTTGTAACGCCTCAAGAAATTTTTCTTTATGGCAGTCATTGTAAAAATTATCTAAACGACATTTACAGTCTAATTAAGTGTATTTTTGGTATAGGAAGGAAGATGTTTACTTAACGAGCCGGTTTTGTTGTGACGACGGTGGCAAGCGTGATTACAAACCGTTCGTTTAAGAGACTTCCTAACCGCATGTCTCATGTCTCCAGAATTGCTGCTGCAAAGCACAAAACCAAAATATATCGATTGAATTGAATTGTAGAAGTTCGCCTCCCCAAACACATCGCAGTCCTACACTTGTCAAAAATCAGTATTGTCTGACATTTTTATATAGGAGTATCCTTTTCTTCGTGATTTTATGGCGCGTGATTCTATAATATTTTTACTCAGAGAGTAGACAAGGCGGAAGGATATGCTCTGCTGTCTTATCAAAATTCAAGTCTGTAAGTAATTAGTGTATCATCTTTCGGTGTGACTGTTGATTCCACATCACTAAAACAGTCTTTGAGAAACAGACAGAATTCATTTGGAAAACTGCTCAAAAGTCTTAATGCCTTCACGGAATTTTCTCGGTTGTTGTCAGACCCGGTAGTCGGGCAGAAAAAAAGCAGAATAAGTAAAACGTGTTCCGCGTCCCTTAAATGAAAACTAGAATTCTGTAACATCACATACTTTCACATTATTTGGAAAAGAGTTGCGTATATTGAATATATAACTTCTGCATAAAGAACTCGGTTATACTTAGTCGAGTTCAACCAATTCAAACGAACCGTCTGTGAGTGGCAATACCGTGCATTTATTCGATATCAAGACCAACTTTTACAATTATCAGTAAATTCAAAATTTACGTATTTGCAACCCGTATGCAGAAAAGCAAGAATAATTTTCTTTCTCACAAATCTGCTTTGATGACATGAAGTGAGCATAACAATGCCTGAATATCACTAATAAGCGATCAAACTCCTTAAAGTAAAGATGTGTTTGGTAGTGTAAGTTATTTGTTACTTTAATTCAATGTATTCTTTCTCGCTACTGCATTACGCGGTAAAGAAAAAGTTATGTATGTGCGCCAAAAAAAGGCAAAATTTTGGCTGAAAAATCTTATTAAAGGGCCTTGCAACGAAAAAGTGTATAAATCCAGTTGAAATTACACAACAAAAGTCACTAACTCCTGGTCTAGCCAGAATTCCAGTTTTTGGCCTTTTAATACCGAAAATGAAATGCGGCTACGCTGTGCGCTGTCTTTGGACAACGCCATTTGTCTAAACCGTTCAGGGATTTCTCCAAAATTATATTCCCAATCTATCTGGCTGATGTCGCCGCCTTTGAATTTGAACCGTATATGTTAATTGGGGGTACTTTACATAAAACCCTGGGATATTTTCAAATTTTCAAAAAATGGCTCTAACGTTTTTTTATTAAAATTTTGTTTTGGAAGTGTTAAAGTATGTTTAAGAGAATGGCGCGGTCCTCATGTTGATTAAAAATCCTGATATTCGAAAAATTGAAAAATTCAAATTTTTTCGGCGTTCCTACAACTACAATTACGAAAGATAATTTTTTTCTCAGTGAAATGTCGGTCATGAAAAACTCTAAAAATAATATTTCTTACGATTTCGAACAAAATTTATGTAACAGCTGTACTCGATTCCCTGTGGAAATATGCGATGTAGGCTGAGTGAGGAAGAGCTGCTCCCCCCACTCTCCCGCCGCCGCTCTACGAACCATTCACCACTTAGGGCCCCTTGCACGGCCCCGCAGCGCGCTTCCGAGCAGCGGCTCTAGCAGAGATTGGTTTGAATGGAGACTTTCCAAGTGCAGTGGA